CCCCCATTATGCACTCACTTCATGAACTGCGTAAAGAATTGGCAATGAAACGCAAAGAAACCAACTGCTGTTACAAAATTGTGGCCTTGAATACAAATATAAAGCTGAAGTAACTTCAACCTACATTCTGTTATATTCAACTCCAAAACGGACGCGGTCAGCACGAGGACGAACCTCTACTGTAAATGAAGTCGGGTCTTCTACGACGCAATGCGCAAAGCAACACGGAACTCGAACACATCAGGTCTGATGACAAGACAATACGTTTCAAGATGGCTGTCTTCGGGGATGTTTACTGGTGTTTCACAGATTTTTGCTGCCTCCATCATCAGGGCGCAACATCCCAGAAGACCGTCGTCTTCTGCGTCCATCTCCTTCAGTTTTAACTGAACTCGAGTGTTCTTAACGTGGAGATCAAAAGTACAAAATGACAATCAAAGTACGAATATTTAACTTATCTGTCACATCACGAAAACACAAACAAAAATCATCACGCTTTTAGCCTTTTGGTGACACCGACAAACGGACAGGATAGAAAAAAAAATGATACACATGCCGTCATATTCTTTTGACGATACAATCTTGCATACCCTCAGGAGAAGACAGATGATGCAGAGGCGATCGTAGGTAGAAAAGTGGCTAAACAAAGCTAAGGCTTGCCCTTCAATTATGCAAGAATAGCCTCGCCTTAGGGCAGGCAAGCTGCACAACACAAAAAGATCGTTGCGATTACAGATTACCACGCAGGCAAACGTTTCCTTCGAAAGCAAACAAATGAAACGCACAATTGTCAAGAGTCGAGTCCCAGATGCACTCAAACAACGCCTTTTTTCAACATTACACAGCTCTGCCTTATTCACGTTGATATAAATCTTACAACGGAACAACAATTCAATTCTCATCGCGTCATTAAAATCATCGAACATCATGATCGAGTGGTTAGCGCAAATCCTTCGTATCCGGGAGGTCACCGGTTTTCCGTGGTTTACCTTAGTCCCTCCAGGCCAAATTCCGGTATAGTATCTTAAATTACGCGTTGAACATTCCATATCTTCAATTCATCATTCATTAATTTTATCATCTTCGACGCTACATAGTCTGAACTACAGACAGAAGATGGCTGTAACGCCGTGTAATGTGGTAGAAGTTTATCAATGTTTCAGAGGTATTTCCTGTCTCCATCATCAGGGCGATGAGTTACATAGCCCTGATGATGGTGGCAGCAAAGATCTGTGAAACGCAGGTAAACTTTTACCAGACTACATGGTGCTGAAACCCAGGAGACAGCCATCTACAGACTCTCAGCATTGAAATTCCGTACATAAGGATTTGATAAATTTTGTCGAGACCTATTTTTAGTCTGTATAATTTCAATATCACTGTATACCTTGCCAGGAAGCTTCATATTATTCAGTCCTTGAGCAATGGAAATCTAAAAATTCTTCTTCCATTTTATGTAATAATCTAAGAATTTACGACAAATGTCTGGGCAAACACACACACAGTATTCTGGTCACGAAATAATAGTTGTGGACTACCATTTCTTGGCTGTAACATTGTTTTTGTTTTTACCTGGTTATCGAAGTTTTGAACAGTTTCAAACGAATATATCACCTCCATCTTCCAAGAGGAGAAACATTCAAAATTTTCACTGCTGTAGAAAATTCAAATCCTATAGAGTTCAATACTATTTATCACATTATATCAGCATAGGACACAGCTAAAGACAGTTTAGAAAATAAAGATTGAACTAATCCAGCATTACGAACTTCGTAAAAACAATGCCTGGCAGCTTCGCCGCAGAACACAAGTAAACTGACAGTCAAACTAGAATGAGAGGCACGGCGGGTCAGCCTAAGGAGAACACGCGTGTACGAGGGAGGGCCCGCGTTCCAAGATCACTGCACTTCAATACAAGAAGCACAACGCGTATTCTCGGGTATCTGTTCCGTGGACTGAATGTTCTGAAGAGAACGCTTCATGGAAACAAGACAGAAACAATGAAATGTGTAAAACATGTTTAATAATGCAAATCTTCTATGTGGGTTACAAAACAATGGGCTTAGCCCCTGTAACTGCATGCAGGGGGCCATCCATCCAGTGACCTTCTACTCATCTGTCAACGAATTGAAAGACGCCCATTGCAAAAATTAACCTCGTGTCACAACTCCAATTTCCACTTTCTTCGTACCCCTTAAATACTGTTTTACACTTATAAACTGAATAACTACCCAAATATTTATTTACTAATACTGAGAGATAAAGTTTTACACAATACACAAGTTATAAAGAATAGGAACTGAAAGAAGACAATAAGACATAACTTCTTTCTGAACCATAAGATGATCTCACGTTTCGTAACGAGGTCACTCTTCTTCGCCCACTGCGAACTAATTCGTTAGTGCCATTCTTCACGCGCACCTACAGCTCCCATTTTCCACTTCTAATAATATTAAAATGTGTAACGCACGAACGGCAAATACAATACATAAATATTTCTAAGTGCTCCACATACATAGACATGTTTAATTTTAAGTTTATATAAGATGTTAAAGTGGAGTGACCAGAGAAGAAACATGCCACCATTACGCTACAAAATAATTATAAAATATTTAAAATTACAATCACATCGATCCACCAAAAGTCACGAATCTTATTACTATAATTATTATATGGCGGGTTTAACCGAACTCAAGACTTCAACTTTAAAGCGTCTTATAGACATTGGGCAAACTCCGCGAATGCGACGTCTACTGTTTCTTCCAGATGATACTCGCTCGGACTATAAATCATTTCTTTAACACAAACCAATTCAAAAATACTTCCAGACAAATCATTTTCATGTTATTCGCATCTCATCGACAGATTTAAAGTCAAATCTACATCAAACCTTAAAGGAATTAATATGGAAACTGGATGAAGTAGGAAGTTTACCATCAAATCTCAGCCCCGTAAGTTAAATGGACGGACCAGTTTAATGTAACTAATATTTACATGTACTAACAAACGTCGATCGTTTTATACAAATAACAATTTTGTGGCTGGTAGTTAACTGGAATCTTACTATAACAAAAATTACATCCAAATACATTCTTGAAATGAGTGATAACAATTTTTAAGCACTGATTACATATATTCTATGACAAAATAAAAAATTCAATTGAACAATCCAGTACCTGGTCTCCTACTCCGAGGATTGTAAGATCAATCTGCAGTACATGGACTGAGCTTCCGTTAAACAGAGGGTAAATTTTTTCCGAGTAGATGAATCTTCAGATCTAATGAGTTTGGTAAATGTAGTTATATAATAAGTAAGTGAAACTATCTAGAAACACGGTCAAAAACATGTGGCAACTGCAGCGTACAGAAACTGTTACGCAGTAATTCAGCGCCCCTCAGCAATGCGTTACAGACCATTCCCTACAGCGGACAGAACCTTCTCAATTAATTAAAAGAAAGTTTCCGGTAATACGTCCCACAAGCGGTAATTACGTTATCAATGACAACTAATTTCTTCGCACCTATATCTGATATATGTAACAAATGGACCGTACAAAACGCCGACTTACCCCCTGGTCGCACGTATTTCACATCGGACCAACATTTAGCGACAGCTTTACAGTCGCAAAATGACAAAACTACTAACATTTTATAAATTCTGTGTCTAGAGTCCGTTTTCAACTCTGGTCACTTCACGAAATAAAATTACGCTGGTGTATACACTTAGATATCATAAATATGTTCCAAGTGGCAAAATTCATTACCACCAAGTGCAATACTGATTCCATTCATAACAACCCCTATAACATTTCTGTAAAAATTCAATACTTAACCCTCTTCAATTGCACGGCAATTTATGCCATCGCAAAACGTCTTAAATTCCGATAACTTAAAGCACGTACTTCGACAAAATTCAACTCTGAAATTACTATTACCTTCCATGGTACATTCGGTAAGAGAATAGACAAATATCACGCCTGAACATACAATATTCCTCACAAAAACAAAAAAAAAGTAACAAATTTGATCAAAATCTGTGCTCTGCAAAACCAATAGGACGCCTGGTTATACAGAAGCGATTAATCGTCGCGCACGTCTGATTTGATTCAGTCTCTGTAAAACATATACATTATTTATACGTTTTCATTATTTACGCATCCCAAGATTTTTAAATGTGCTGCAACTGCGTTTCACAGCATTTCATTTTACGTCCCGGCAACATCGATACGACAGTCACACAAAATGAAACAAGATATTATGACCAACCAAATTATCATTATTCATACAATTCAAAATTAAAATAAATTAATTGCTATCATCTTGCTCGAAAGCTACAGCCATACAAATAAGATACCTTAAAAACCAACAATTTAAAGGCGTGTTATATCGAGAGCGACGTCACTTGCCGACAAACAAGCTGAAATATGTCAAAATACGACCGGTAATCAGCACGGCACGGCACGCGACGTCTTGGTCTCTGATCCGGGCACGGGCTTCACTCATTTATAATACGATACGCCATTATCATGTTAATGTAAAAGTAACTATAATGTATTCTAAAATATATTCTTTAAAAGAGGCAGAGATCGCACTTACACTTACCTTGGGTACATGCAAAGCCAAGGGAAAAAAAACCTAAAAATAAAGTTTCATTCAATTCAATTTACATAAATTCATGTAACGTGATCAATCACTGTTACTTTCATAGCCATTAATGGAATGTGGGAAGTTTCAGGGTTCAACCACATGACAATTCTTTTTAAAACATATTTTTTGTGGATTCAAGGTCAACACTGGAACATACACAAAAAGCCTTTCTTTGCTCGTAATTAACCAAACTTTACATTATCAGTATAACAACAATCAAAAGACAAA